TGTGATAAGTCCAGGTCCAATTCAACTAGCAGAGAACTCAATTGTCAGCAGTGCTGCCCTTTGCAATATTAGATCTCCCCCTGTGAAGCTCTATGGTTAGTTATTATTTTTAAGATATGCAACAAAAAAATTTGAATGTAAATAGAGAGACAAAATAGAACTACTAGAAGAAAACTGAAGATATTTAATGTCATTTTTCACTTTTTTCTTGGATTTAATTCTCTAGTTTATGAATGAATTAGATATATTTCTTAGTAGAAAAATGAATGATATTTCATTTTACTCTTATTTATAGATATTTATTTTGATAGTTTTAAGCTGTGTAATTGGTCAAAGCACTATATAGTAAAAGCACTTGGGTTGACAAACTATGGTATGAAGGTCAAATGTCAACTCCTATCTGCATCTGTTTTTATAATTAAAGTTTTATTGGAATATAGCCTGCATATTTATATATTGTTTGTAGCTGCTTTTCCTGCTACAGTTGAGTAGTTTTTATAGAAATTATGAAAGCCTACAAAGTCTGTTTACTTACTATTTTCCTCTTCCTCTTTAGAGAAAAAAATTGAACACTGAACTAGCACACAGATTTATAAATTTGTAAAGGAATATATGCATTTTTATCTATTTTTGTGGCTTGTAATAACACAGAATAAAAAAATCAAACAAAAGAAACATTTGTGTTGTTGTTTTAAAATTTAGAAAAGCCTTAACAATATCCTGTAGGAGGAACTGGTGCTTGAATGCAAATCTCTGTATACACCTGGGTGGTAGGGAAGTTTGCATATCTTCAAAGTAAAATATCTCTAAAAAATACTGTGAGACGGGCATGGAAGGAAAACTAAATGTAGAGCTCAGGGAGACCAGTGAGGTGATCTGTAACCAAGCAGATTTAATATGCCTGAAAACTGCATGAATTAGGTTAGTCTGCAAGCCTTTACCAGCTTGTTCTTGGCAAGACTTCCAAACCTCTAAGTATAGCAGACTCTTCTGCATGGCTGTCTCAGAGATAGTCCCATGGCCAACTTATACTTTATAATCTGTCATATTTACTTTACTAAAAAGAGTAAAAGTAACTTTTTAGGAAATAATAAATGTATATATGTGCTAAGTCCCATGGCCAACTTATACTTTATAATCTGTCATATTTACTTTACTAAAAAGAGTAAAAGTAACCTTTTAGGAAATAATAAATGTATATATGTGCTAAGTTTTTCTTTTGGTGCCTTCATTTGTTATGAAGTAGTTTCTCTCTCACACATATATATATTGTGTGTGTGTTGATTCACATGTATTATTAAAGAAAGCTGGTAGGATTTTGAGGTAAAGTACTACTCAGAGCCAGAGCCAGTTTGGTATTTTCCTATAAGACATCCTATTTAGGGCTCTGCATCTCAGCTTTGCAGTCCTGTGAATTTGAATCCAACAGAGAAGATTTAGCTTTTATACCATTTTTTTTCTCATATAAGAACCATAATCATTCCAATGGGATGCTGTAGGACTAGATCTCTTAAGCCATTTTTTTTTAAAACAGCAGGTGTTCTTCAGGGACACAAGATGAGGTGAGCACCTGTTTCTCATTACATCCCAGCAGCACCCATATAGACAGTGTAGGTCAATATATTTAGGAATTAGTTATAAAGAAGGATTAAAAATGTTGAAACTTAGCAAATGAGCTAAAATATAACAAAATTAAAAGGCTAAGCAATGTAGGTTTAGAAAAAATTTTTAGATATTCTCTCAATGACAGTCTTGAGATAGTTGCTGAATGAGATATAAAAATGAAGATACAACTTTTGAATTGAAATCTAATTGTTTGAAAGAATTTATTAGGAGTTAAACAAGAGATTTTTGGATTACATAAATATATAATATTAATTTACATCAAATTTTGAGAGGAAGTGCCCTATTTTACTCTTACTATTTCTTTTCTCAATGTATGATTCCTACTCCTTGAATTCCAAGCCATGTGGAATAATTTTGGAGATACAAAGCAATGGCCAAAATTTGTAATAAAAATCTGAGACATTATGCTATTTTTTTGTCTTTAAAATTAAAAAGTTGTAATGATACAGTCATCACATTTTTACCTTTGCTTAGGTATTAATTTATAAATGTTCATGCCTTTATGAACATACAAGTAAAATAATCAGTGGAATCATGAGAAAATTTTTTGCATAAATATTGTTCATTCCCTATTTGAACAATTAGTGACTTCTATTTTATTAACTTTAATAATTTTATTCCTTTATGCTAATTTTTACTGTCATTGCTTTTTTGTACTTTTAAATTATTATGTTTGGTAAAAGTTCCTTTCACCTCTCCTGTTTCATTCTTTTATTATATGTTTCAAATGTTTTGGCCTGCTGTGAAGAAGTTGTTTACCAATGTACAAGAGCCTTTGGGTCATTTATATAACAACTAGGTCGTACTGGTTTGTTTGTGTGTGTGTATTTTGTCATTACTATGTACTCCAAATGCACAAATAAATACATACATATTTGTATATAGTTGAACCTCTGTATACTGTCCCTAAAACTATTCCATTCCGTCTTCTTCAGAAGTGTCTCCTATATAATATATTTGAATTCATACACAAAATATGTATTACTAAAAAATAAATTATACAATTGTTTTAAGATAATTTAAAACTATAAACAATATCATAATGTATATAGATTTCTGCTCTCTGCTTACTCTTTTTGAACTCATTGACATGGACCCAATTGATAGTGTAGATCAAATTTATTTGCTTGTATTGGTAGGTACTATCTAATTATGTGAAAATAACATGATTCATAAATGTACCAATAAAGGATAAAGGAAAAAAAAATGAACATAAAGTAGAAACAAATTTAGCCAGTATAAATGTTTTTGTTGTCTTGGGAAAGGAAAAAGCTCTTTTTTTTTTTAAAGGCTATGACCTACTCAATTGGAAAACTAAAACCTAGGGGTACAAAAAAATGTAAAATATTTGTAGGAAAATAATATCATGTGAAAAAAAATCAAGATATTCATCTAGGTATATATATATATATATATATAAAGAAAATAATATGCTTCTTAAACAATTTTGATAACCATTTAAATTCTTTCCAGCTTTTAATTTTGCATATGATGCTACAGAGACTGTTCCTAAACATCTTGTGTAAATGCTGCTGCTTTACCATACTACTTAGATATCAAACTAAATTGAAAAAGTCCAGAGTTATACTGACATTAGATATAATTCCTTATATTAATAAATTCATAATTTTAGTTTCTAAATTGTAATTGTGGTGTCAACTTGAAACACCCAAGTGATTAGTTCAACATTGTTTGGATGTGAATGATGGATTTATTGAAGAGAGTAGACCAACCCTAGGTATAGGTGGCACTAACCAATAGGTTTGTGGCCTATACGTAATAAAAAGTGGGGAAAAAAAGGAAGTCTGCTTTTCCTTCTTTGGAGGAGCTCCAATCTTCACCATTGCCTTTGGATGACCATCTTCAGGCTTCCAGCTCAGACTTGTCAACTTTCCAGAAAGTTTAGCCTTCCATCTTACAGTCTTCAGACTTCTAATACAGAGCCTTTAACTTCCTGGTACAGATTCAAATGAGACTCTGCAGTGAGCTCCAGCTTGACCAGACCATTTGGTTCTTTAGCACACAGATGGCTATTTGGCATTCTTCTGCACTTGGCTCTTCTGTTGGCCATTATAAATCTATCTTGTAAATCCTATATGTATATATTGACATTCTAGGGAACTCTAACGGATATGTGAATCTTGTGCATACTGAAATTAAGAATTACTCTAATATTTTATATGAGTAATCTCACCAGTCATTTCACAGAGTTTATTTCTAAGATAGATTGTATTAGTGTTTTACAGAGGAACACAATCAATAAAAAAATGCATAATTAGGCAAGGAGACTTGTTAGACAGGGTTCTCCCTAGTTAGCAGGAGGCTCCCTAGTACTATTCAGTGTACTATAGATCCAGAGAATCTAGCAGCTGATCAACCAAGAAAATGGAAGCTGCAGAACAAAAGAGATCAAAGATGCAGTCCCAGTCCCAGATCTGAAGAAACTGAACATCTGGAGATCAGTGGCCAAGGGTGGTGGCAGCAAATGTCAGACCTGCTCAGGAAGACTAGAGCTCTTCAAAATGGTCACAACTCCTTCTTTCTCTTTTTATTCTGTGTAGACCTAAAGTTGAGGCAGCTCACAGTCAAAGTGGGTCTTACCCTTTCACAGTTTTGTGGCCTACCTGTCTTTCATCACAGACACACCTAGAAGTTTGCTTTGCTAATCTGCTGGGCTTTTCTTGATCAATTCAAGTTGACATATCATGATTAATGGTCACACAGACATACCGTTAATGTCATTGCTTGACTGTATACCCTTGTACTTTGTTTTGATAGCTCTGAGTACACAGGCAGATACAAATTTCTCAATTTTGTCTTTGAGAGAACATTCTGTTAAAAAGCCTTCCTGACATACTAGCACTGTCATTTGCTCTGTTAATGATTTATTAAATACATCAGAGAAATTAGAAAAATGAAATTAAAAAAAATATTTTTAACAACAGCTCAACTAATTTAAATCACTCTTCTAAGAGATGCATGTTGGAAAAATTCATAAGTGGTAGGCATATGACATAGTAAGGATAATAACCAGTATAAGCTGATAACTTCTAATGGGAAATATAGAGTTTTGGAATTACATTCCAAATCACTTGTTTTTCCAGCATTTATTATTTGCAATGAACACATAGAAAATGGTTAGCAAAAACAGGTAGTTTGAAAATATTTTAACATTTGTATCTAAATGAATGTCAGAAATTTTTTTTTTGCAAATGAAAAATGCTAAGTATAATAAAAATGTGTATTTATGCTCTCGGCAGCCAAATGTGCTTTTTAATGGAATTTAAATAAATGGAATTTTTATTACAAAAAAAAGCAACAGTAAAAGCAGTGATTATGTTTTTCATAGTTCATTTGCCTTCTTTGCCCTGCAGACCTTGTGTGGAGGAAAATGAGATCCCGAGTGAAGCCTACAATGTCATTGACTCTGAAGAAGGACTCAGAGACCCATTGGTGTTTAATGACCCTTACTGGCCTCTGCAATGGGAACTGGTATGATCTTCAGAAATAGATAGTTCTTTGGCAATGTTAAGAAATATTATTTTTGTCATGTTTTAATGCAGTAGACAGACACTTTTATGCACTGCCTGCTTTTATTTATTGATTTTGCAGACAGAGAGAGACTTAGCAAACTTTTGGTGAAATATTACTGCCAGTTTATTAATGAGCACTAATTCTTTTAATTTGATTACATCCTTAGGGTTTGATTTAGTCTATAAAAGACACTAATAAAAAAAACCTAAGACATTTAAATTTGGTGTATGTAAACAGACTCATTACATAGAAATGTAGTTGCCATTCAGGCTTGACATTATTGTTCTTGAATAACTCTGATTATATTTTGTGTTACATCAATAATGAAAGTACTCCTCTCTGTCTTTATGGATTAAGCATGTGTTAGAGCACTACATAACAAGATTTTCTCATGGTTAAGTGCACTGTATCATTTTAAGGGGCATAATACAGTGAAAAGTGGGAAACTATGGTGTCTGCAATTTCTTTATGGAGAACTTTGGCAGTTAACTCATCTACCATCTGAAATGAGCTAAATGTCCTTGTTGGAAGATGTGCATTTCAATTTTCTATGGATTAAACTAATCTTTTTAAAATTAAACATAATTTATAAAATTCCAAGAGATGTATGTGACCATATTGGACAATTTAGAGAAAATGAAAACTCAACCAAAAAAAAAAAAAAGAAGTGCCAATTACCTAAAAGTGAAATGATCAGTAACAAGTGACTGGGCTGTAGCATATTAGGATCATGAAAGTAAAAGGGAAAAAATGAAATTCAGAAAAAATAGTGAGACAAGGTAGCCAGATAAGCAAGAAAGCATGGATTAAGGGGGTAAACTTATTTTTATCAAATTTTTTACCTTGAAGAGATAGAAAAATTAAGATGAATATTTCAAGATTTTATATATATATAAATATATGGCAAATTGTAATTGGTCACTTTTCAAGGAATATGTATTTGTATGACAATAAAATGTAAATGTATCTATACTGAAGTCATAAATTTCAAGAAACACAATAGGGAAAAGAGCTAGAAGGCAAATGATACAGGAAAGACAAAAAAGATTAACAGTCAATAAGTAAAACTGACAGAGATTGGAAACCAAAACAAGTCAGAGAAATGATTATGCAATACATCCTACTCCAAGCAGAAAGAAGAGATGAGACCGTGACAGGAACATGTAGGGCTGGGGATGTAGCTCAGCGGTGCTGCCAAGTGCCTCGCCAGCACAAGGACCCGAGGCTGATCCCCAGTAACCCCACACACAACAACAGAAAGCAGAATGTAGACAGAAGTAATATGATGACTCTATACCATGGAAGGATGTGATGAACTGTTTTTGTTAAAAAAAAAAAAAAGACAGATGGTAAGTATTTCCAGCATTGTGAATCATGTGTCTGTAGTATACTCTTTTTGTTTCAGTTCTTCAAAAATGTAAGAAAAACCTTAGCTTTGAACCACACAAAAACAGGTTTTAGACCAATTTCATTTTTATGCCATATTTTACTGACAGCAGTAAGGGTGGAAACTAACGGGAGAAGAGGAGTCAGGAAGAGGCCACTAGGATTTAGTTGTCTTTTAGGTATTCAAGTGCTGTGTAGCTAATGCTCTCATCAAAACTTAATACAACTCAAAGACAAAAGGTTTATGCTGTTCATGTTTATATTCTTGGTCTTTTGGATTATTATGGTTCCCAGGTAGTATCATAATAAAGGCATATTTGTCAGTACAATAGCAATTCCTTTTTGTGCCAAGACACTCCATAATGCAAAATTGCAAAGAAAGATTTTCAATTCGTGACTGAATGTTCTTTGTAAAACACATCCATGACACCAAACCTAAGCTACATTATAGAATCTTCCTCTGATAAAAATACCAACAGGGCAGCTGTGTGTACTGCCCTAACAGGGACATTTGAGAACTTATGCCATTTACCATTTTTAATGGTATCCATCAGATACTGGTTTCTCCCTCTTTTCTACACAACCGAGTTTTCTGAAATGATCATGTATTCTCATATTCATTTTTGTGCTCATCTACTCTTCAACGAAAAGCCTGTGGCAGTCTGTTATTTGCAGTGCCCTCCCACCTACCCCTGTCACACCCCCACCTGTGGCCCACTAACTCTTTCAAGGTAATAGAGCCTTTTCAGTTATTTTCTTACTTGAATATTCAGTTATGAACTTGTGACTATCCAAATAAAACCTTCAAAGGTTAAAATTGGAATCTCTAATATAGTATAATGGTATATTATTAAGGCATTCATAATCTCCCTTTGTTGACTTTGGATGTTTCAATTCTCTGTATGTTGGTCCTAGAAACAATCTATACACCAAACAGAACAAACCCCACTGGAATGTAAATGGCCAATTTCCTTCTTATGCATGCTCATGGCCTGGTACCTTCCTAATGTTCTGTTTTGACTAATTCTATTCCACAATTTACTCAGACACCATATCTTAACATGAATTTTTTTTTTCATTTACTAGAGTGAGTTAGGCCTCCTTTACCATCTATTCCCATAATACAGTATCATTTGAGTGAACTGCCATTTGAATGAGTGAACTGATGAATGAATGAATGAACTCAATCATTAATGCCTGCTAATTCTTGATAATTGGTATTGGTATGTCTTCTCCACTGCAGAATAAAACTCTATATAAGGATGGAACTATGTCATAACTCATCTCTATATTGTCATTCACACTAAGATATCTGATATTTTATATACCAACTAACCATTGTTTAGTGAGCAAGTTTTGGAAGGAGCATGATTGTAACTATTCATTTTCTTCCTTTTTCTAAAGTAAAAACATGTTCTGTTTTGCATTTAGCTGCAACAAACCTGTATTTTAATAAATATTGTTCCCTCTTAAAAATCAGCTTCTATCCAAATAAATAAAATAACCCTTTCAATAGAGTGGCTTGAGGTGGATGAGGTTTGTTTTTTTCTTCTAAGTAGCAGAGTTGCCCGAGGGGAATAAGGAGACTCAGATTATTAGAATCTGAGGTTACTTACATGGCTTCCACATTGCTAACCACCTCTTCTGCACGCCACCTGGTGGGAGGAAGAAAAAAGAAAATGTATGGCCTGTTGTACATGTATGCTGTGCTCAAATTTGGAGGTTCTTTTCCTAGCAGAAGAGGGATGAATAGATATAGTGAAACAATAGTCTCTTTCAGGCACTAATTTAAAAAGCAATACATTTTAAGCAAAATGCAAATAATTAAATTCCTTGAATTTTCTAAGTTGTATTTCAAAGACTATCAAAGAAAGAGAAATGTTAGTATAAAAGGTGGTGAATTATGAAGGTTCTAAACAATTTTTAAGACCAAAAGTTTTTTAGTGAACATAATTAACATAATTAAAAAACAATTGTTCAACAGAGCTGAAATTCATTTTCTTCACCATTACTCACCAAAATTTACCACAGCATCTTCCAGAGAATGGAACGCTCTTAAATTTGGACTGAATATTATTAACATGGGCTAATCTCTCCATTTTAATGTTTCAGAAGGTGATGTACCTCAAGCTATGAAATAAATTTTTAACCCCTCAGTGAATAACTTGACAGCTGACCACATTTTCTTCCTATCTAGAATTGGTTAAATTTACATTACATGGAAAATAAAACATGCTACTCATTGCTCAATAACACTAGATGACTAGAGCAGTATTGATACCCTAATTCTTTGTTATAATCAAAGTAATGTATATGTTACTGGTCTCCAAAGATCATACCCCACAAAGAGTGGCCCAAGTATACCCACTGGTATATGCAAAATGTTTGAGAATTTCATTTGTATTCATTTTTTCATATTTAAAATTTTTCTGAATCTATTATAATGTAAATAATATGCTAGTATATTAGTTAAGTTTCTATTTATAAATAATTACATATACATATATAGTGGCTCTATGCATAGAGCTTTCTATAAAAACACGTGAACAAAATGTTGAAGACAATTAATGTACTCAACAGATACAAAGTAGGATGCCAAGTGTTTTTATGGAGTGTCTGCTATATGAATAAGACTAGGCATTAAATCTTTAAAGAAGAATCAGATGTGGATTTCTTCTTTAAAGGGCTTAATGTGTAAAAGAGATGATAACATATACTAATAAATCATTGTTATGAGACAAAAAGTCATCCTATTAAAAAGGCACCATCAAAGGAATTTCTAGCTTGTAGGAGGTAATATATGAATTATATGAGCTATACATGTGGCAACAGAAGCATGAGAATGGGAAAGTATTGTTTTTTCCCAGAAGAAAGTATCTTAAATACTTGGTCAAGAATTCTAAATGATGTTCTATGCTAATAAACATTTTTAAAGATTTTGAGCAGAAAGTTTGAGTTATGCTTGAATACTATTAATATACTTTTATCATCATCATCATCATCATCTTTGTTATTACCATTATTTGCTGTGCTTGGGATTAAACTCAGAGACTTGTGCATCCTAAACAAGCACCTTACCACTGAGCTACATACTCAGCCTAATTTATTTCATTATATATTGATTTACGAAACACTTGTTTGTAAAGTACTATGCCCGAGCGTAATGCTAAATATGCAAAATAAAAATAGGAATCATATGCTAGTCTTATTATCAAAAGACTAATAGTCTAGTGAGATAGTGATACAAACATACTCAGTGTATTTTGTGAATGTCTGACAGTTACTTATTTTAAAAAAGCATGATAGTGACACAATGCAGGAAACAGCATATGCTGCTCAAATTTGAAAGACTTCATAGAGCTATGGAGTCTTGAAGCAGTGTTATGGTATTCTGTAGCATGTGTGTGTGTGTGTGTGTGTGTGTGTGTGTGTATGCACATAGAAACAGCAATGGAGAAAAGTCTAGGCAGTTCAGCTGGACCCAATTTCAAAGGATCACATGTTCCAAAATATTTACCTTTTGTTTTGTAGCTTATGTGGGTAGGAGGTTTAAATAGAAGTGGCACAATCAC